CGAAGATGTAAGTTATCATGCTTGATCAGGGATCTCACTAGCCCAATGGCAGTGCAGGTCGCTTATGAATATTCAAAACTTGCAAATTTTACGGGTTTGAATAAAATAAAGCTAGCGATTGGGAAGAATAGTTATTGATATATTCCATGCTGCTCAATAAATTTTTATTTGTTTCATTAGAATTTAAGAAATGGATAGTTGACCAATGCGTCGATTTCAAGGTTTTACCTGGACAACAATAGCTCTGTTGTTGTTTCGTGATGAAAAATATATACTAAATAGTACTTGTTTGATTATTTAGGTTTTCAGCCCCAAAATTACTGAACATGGTCCTCTTGAATTACGGTCAATGTTTGTCCCGTTTCTGCTGATTGTGGTAAATGACAGACGTCGAACTGACGCCCGCTGTATATATCGAACAAATAATTACCTGGACACGGTCGATAGAAATTCCAAACAATCAAAATTATTATTGAAAGACAAGTTATTTTTTTTCATACGCAAAATTAACAAATCACTCAGTCCAGGCATGGAACTCATTATTTATCTTAGTCCTTCGGCTTGTCTTCTCTGTGGGGAAAACAACAATACTTATATAAATCGCCAATACGTCACTTCAGAATATTGTTTAAAATAAAATATTCTATCCCAGTCAAATCTAGGTTGAACTTTTGACGGCTATTCAACATCTATGAAAACCAGAAAGACAACTGTGTCAATGTGAACCTCAGAACAATTTTAGTATGAATATTAAATGCATGCATGCCGGTGGCGATATTTCCGGGTTTGCACGATCGAGAATAAGGTGGAAATTATCCAGTCGAATTTGCAAAAAGCAAGTGAAAAAAAAAAAATTGAAAAGCAGAAACGGTATATATGTATGTGGATGAATTGCAGATTTAATGGATTCTTTATTGCCCAAGGTTATCAGGTTACATTTTTTCTGAAAGCTCAAAGGTCAGGGCTGTCGGTCATCTCCCCAGGGCCCCATCCCAAGCCACCTCTTGATTTTTTTTTCAACAAGTCCATATTTAGGTACTACCAACAACAAAGACTATTTTCATTTGCATAAAATTTTCATATTTTAAATTCATCTGCTGTTGCTTATTGTTGATGGTTTGTTTATGTTCCACTTACAGCAGTACATGTGCATTTATTATTTCTGTAAACATTGTTTCAATAATCTTCAAACCATTCTATTAAAGTTAGTTGCTACACAAACACTTGAAAATAAAAAAGACCAAAGAATTTGGAGTTAGATTCAATCTCCTTAGAAATGAAGTCCTTCTACCTACCATGATACTTACCGTAAATAATAACCGACAAGGACATCGTCAATATTATGCTCATGACAAACAGCTGACAACAAATTGTATTATTGCCTGAGTCACTGTGTGCACCATGCACAATTAAGGTAGCAGGATAGTTTTTTTTGCATGAAAAATGTAAACACCTATAATCGGAATAAATTTTACAAGAAACCATACAATCTATATATGTTTAGAAAGCTCTTGACTTGTATTTTCCTACTATTAATATTTTGTGAACATTGTGTTTGTTTTAGCGTCACGTGATTCTGAAAATCAGCGGGGCTGATAATTTAACTAAAGTGAATAAAATTTTAATTGTCATCTCTACAGTCATTCATGCGATCAAAAACTTTACACTGTTTTGAAGCAAAGGTCATAAAGTTTAAATCAGTCTTCTATTTTTTGCATTAAGTTTTTTTTTTCTTTCCGAAAATCGCAAATTTCAAGCACGTTTTTTGGTGTTAAAGTTTGTGTATATCGATAGTTTGCACGAGGTTTGTGAAAAAACGCAATAGAATTTTGCAAATATGCAAATACGGATATGAAGCCAACATATCCAAGAGTAAGAAAAGTT